CAACAAAAACAACAAATAAACCGACTGAAACAGTGACGTGTTGAGATGCTGCCGTTCTCTGATGTTTAACAGAAAAGGAGACGAGGAGGAGGAGGAGGAGGAGGAGGAGGTTTTACATCGTTGAGACTTGGCCACACACACACACACACACACACACACACACACACACAGACTCTCAGGTGTCACTGGATGACATCGATCCTGGCAGCCAATCAGAGGCGCCTCCTGCTCGCTCCAGCCAATGTGACGGCTGCAGCTTTTTGTTTTTTGCGTCCGTCTGTCGATGACATCATCGCTGATGTCAGGTGAGGCCGAGGAGTGACATCGTCTCATCTGTATTCGGAGCGGCGCTGCAGAAGCCCGAAGCTCTGATTTTAAATCTCTGCTGTTCAAACACGGTGATCGTCGTCTGATTCAGCCGGAAACATCTGACTGCTCCGGTTCAGGATCGGATCCGACCAGGATCAGCCTCCTGGTTCTCCCGCAGCAGCCTTTGGCCTCCTGATTCTCCTGAAGCAGCCTTCAGCCTCCCGGTTCTCCCGAAGCAGCCTCCGGCCTCCCGGTTCTCCCGAAGCCGTCTTCGGCCTCCCGGTTCTCCTGAAGCAGCCTTCAGCCTCCTGGTTCTCCAGCAGCTTGTTGCCTTCAGCTCAGGAAGCAGATTTGCTTATTGGTGGGAAGTAGACACAAGAGGAGCCGCAGCATTTAAATGACCAGAACCAGCTGTCAGCGGGTCGAATGTCTGATCAGGACAAACAGAACGATAGATCCTGCTGGTGACGACTGAAGTCTGTCCACAATGACTCCACAGTTACCTAAAACTACCTGGAACTGGTCCATAATTACTCATTTTTGTCCATAATGACTCCAAACTGTCTAGAAGAACTCAAACTTTTCCAAAAATCACTCAGAAATTGTGCATAATTACTCAAAATTGGTGCAAAATTACTAAACTTTGTCCAAAGTAACTCAGAATTTGTCCAAAATGTCTCCAAATGACTCCACATTTAGAGGAACTCCTCCAATATGACGTGAAACTTCTCCAAAAGCGTTGAAGACAACAAACAGATTTGTCCAAAATGACGTAAAATGTGTTCAATAGGATTTACAGTTTGTCCATAAATCAAACTGTACAGTAGAACTCTGCACTGACTGTTGGACCTGGAGGACGGATTCATGGAGCTGGACCGCCTGAACGTTCAAGAAAATAAACTCATCAATCCAAAATTACAAAGATTTGTCCAAAATGTGCCTCAAATTATTAGAAATTTGTTCATAAAAGCGCCTCTAACTCAGGTCCTGATGTTGACAGCGTGATGCTAACGTTGTGCTAGCGTTGTGCTAACGTTGTGCTAACTCTTCACAGTCCTGAAACTTTCTGATCGTGCCTCATGAAACATTTACAGATTTGTGGTTTTAAAACAGTTGCTGAGGAAATCCTGCATCGCTTCACTCAGTGAAAGACCAGAAAGTAAAGTCGAACCCACTGAGTCTGAAACCGGAAGAATTGCTGAACGCAAACACAACAAAAACACAACGTAAACGCAACATCAATGCAACGTAAACGCAACGTAAACATGGCGTTAACGCAACATAAACACAATGTGAACACGAAGTAAGCACAATGTAAACAACCTGTGTGGACTGAGGAGTCGGCAGCAGAGTGAATGAAGGAGTCATTAAACGAGCAGCAGAGTGTCTCTGGCTGTTGGCTGCAGGCCGCCACTGACTCATCCTCAGACCAACACGCTGCCTCTCCGTCCGTCCGTCCGTCCGTCCGTCCGTCGGCACATCGGAGCTTCGTTCACACTCTGCAGGCGTCCACATGTTCAACAGATGTTCCTGCTCACGGTCCAACTGGAATCCACCTGCTGCTGGTCCAAACTGTCAGGTTGGTGCTGCAGGTGCAGGACGGTAGAAACGATGAACTGCAGCTAAAAGAACACGTCGTGTCTTGATTGCACAACATTACTTCACCACTTCTTCCATTATAGTCTCATTTTTACATAATGTTTTAAAGGTTTATTGCTGCATCGTACTTATTTCTTATTGCTATTAATTAATTACATTATTTTCTGGTAAAAAAGAACAATTTGGTGCATAAACGTCTCCCAGAAGCAGAAAATAAAGTGTTTCTGATCATTTCTGCACATTTTCATGTAATATTTCAGTATTTTTATTGTTTTGTTTAGTTTTTCCACTCATGCATCATCCTCGTATCTTAGTGCTTTTCCATTAAACATTGAAGTCGTGCACTTTTCTGAGCATCATTTAGCAAAAATGGATCATTTGGTGCCTGAAAGTTCCCCAGAACGCAGAAGTATTTTCTACTTCCTGTGCAGTATGACGGCACTACGTTTCTCTTCTAGTCGTATCTAACGAACTCGTTTACGTTTTCAGTCGGCCATCCTACTGACTGCTCTGCTATCAGGACTGTTTCTCCTCATGTTGGTGTTTTTGAGCAGCGTCTGGTTGAACCTGAACCGTGACGGCTGCAGACGGAATCGATGCAGCCGCTCGGCGTCCAGAGCTGCAGCCTTGGACTCACAACACACACACACACACACACACACACACACACGCACACACACACACACTCTCACACTCACACACACACACTCTCAGCCAGTCCCCAGGTGTTGGTGAGGATGAGGCCTTGGCCTAATCAGCCTCCTGTGGGGCTGAAGGAAGGAAGCGCTTGATTTATGAGTCTGGGAGGCTGACAGATCTCAGGTGGACGGAGACACTGACACACTGTGTTAGTGTTTCTAATCTCTCACTTCACCTCATTTCACCCTCATCCCCTCTTCATCCTCATCTTCATCTCATTTTCATCCTAATCTCACCTCTCCTTTATTTCATCTTATCCTCATTTGATCTCATCCTTGTACCGTCTCATTCTCATCTCATCTCATCCCAATGTTGTCTTGTTCATCCTCTTCTCATCTTCCTCCTCATCTCCATCATCATCATCATCTCATCTTCTTATCATGCTGTTTATTCTTGTCTTCATGTCACCCCAATCTCATCTACATTTCATCTTCATCTCATATTTAATCTCTCCTCTCAATCCTATCTTCATCTTGTCTCATCTCATCTTCATCCTCATCTCATTTTCCTCTTCATCTCAATCTCGCCTCCCCTTTATTGTATCTCATCCTCATCTCAATCTTATTTTATCATCATTCTCATCTCATCTTATTTAATCTCATCGTCATCTCAATCCTACCTTCATCTTGTCTCATCTCATCTTCATCATCTTCACTCTCATCTTCGTCCTCATCTCTCCACGTCTGCCTCTCTGGTCTTCCTCCTTCCTTTGTCCTCCTGATCATCTCACTTCTCTTTATAAACTTGCTTCTATATGACTAAAGTTATTATAATAATAAATCATCACATAATGTCTGAGAGGACGCTCACATGTTTGTCTAACTGGAGATGAATAATCCGACCTGAGCTCAGTTTCTGTCTAAACGCCGGCGGTTTTGTTCATTAAACTTCATCTGGAGCGTCGCTGAGCCGTGAAACCTCTGCTGAGACGCTACAGTTTGCCTTCAGCTCTGATCTGGATGCATCCACCTGCTTTAGCCTGAAAGACGCTGCAGCCGCTAAACGCTGAGCTGCGACGTTTCCTGATCAGAGCAGCTTCCTCCAGACTTCCTGCATCTTATCGTCTCCGTCGGGTTTGTTTAGATCCATCTGTAGTAGTTTTCTCTCAGGTGGTGAAGAACTGCGCCATCTTATTTTCTAATCTGGTGACACTCCTGTAATTAGTTTTTCCTGCAGCGCCGTCGCAGAATCACTTCTTCCTGAACTTTCTCTCACTTCAGAAAAAAAAAGCTCAATTAGAAAAACCGGTTTGGCGTTCGTCCACGTTTGTGTTTTTCTGGCTTTAACTTCATCCGTTAGTTAAACAGGAGCATAAATTCTGCCTCCTGTGGATCCTCGCTTCCTTCAGTGTGTTAAAAAGCTGCTTTTTAAAATCATTTTGGACCAGAGTGAAGTCAGCGTGACCCACAGAGGCCCTCGCTTCCTTCAAGGTGTTCATGGAAACAATCTGCACATCTGAGTTTGAGTCATTTCGGATCATTTTTAAGTCATTCTGGGAAAGCTAGGAGTTAATTTGAACAATTTTTAAGTCATTTAAGACTAATTTTACTTATTTTTTGATCTTTATTTGTCGTCTTTTTTGCCGTTCTGGACAAGTTGTTGTTGGAGGTGGAGATGCAACGTTAGTATGACTTACAGAGACATAAAAAGGCACCTTAGCTACTCGATATTCTTTTGTTTGGTTGCTTTGCTCCTTCACTGTGTCACATGGCTGCATTTGTGTGCATGTACAAAGTCTGCAAACTTGAGTTTAAGTCATTCTGAACAACTATTTTTTGCAATTCCAGGTATGTTGAGAGTCAGTTTGGACAATTTTTAGGTAATTTCTGGACAGAATTCAGGTCATTTAGGATGAATTTCAAGGAATTTTAGTCTATTATGGACAAATTTCAAGTCATTTCGGTTGAATTCAGGTTGAATTTTTGTGGTGATATCATGACTATCTGTGGTGATTTTTCAGTTATGTTGTGATTTCACATCTTTTTGTGATGATTTTAAATAATTTTGAAGTGATTTATTATATTTTTGTGTCAATTTTACATGTCTGTGGTTTAGCAGTAAATAGAGCGGAGTCGTCTGCATAGAGGAGGATTTTATGATCTAACGTGCTCTAACAGAGACTCTGTGCTGATGTTTGTTACCAACATTTGCTTGTTTCAGATCTTTTGCTCAGTTTACATGATACACGACACAGAATCTGCTCTTTTATCCGCTTTGTTTTGGTTTTAAAGTTTGAATAACTGCCTCTAAAGACGATTTACTGCCAAAAAAACTTCCACATGCAGGAGTTTCTTTGTGTTTCTTACCTTGTTGTCTGTTTCCTCATTGGATCAACCAGTTAAATTATCGCCTCTCACCTGTTGTCCATCAGGTAGAGGTCACACGATGCCACAATGTCCGCAGTAGCCCCGCCCTCCTCAGATTGCTATGGCGACGACTTCTCCACCCCCGAAGGAAGCGATGCTGACATGATGGACGTGGAGCCTCTTCTGGATTCATCCCAGCATCACTCTGGTTTCAGTTCGTCGTCGCTGGAGTTGAACTGGGAGGAAACTCAGCCGGAGGATGGTGGCTGGAGCCAAGATGGAGGCCTGGAGGGGCAGTAAGTATGAACCAGAATGGACGCCAGCATCTCACCATAAACACTTTGGGTCTCTGTGGGGGTTTGGAATCCTTTAGCCGTAACTCTGAGTCATCTTCGTGGTGAAACGACATCTTTTTGAGCTGATTTAACTCATTTTAAGGTGATTTTTGCATCTTTAGTGATGATTTCGTTTATTTTTTCGGGAACTTTCACACGTAGAGAGAAGTGACGAGAACTTTAAAGCTCAGATCTGTTTAGTTTTCAAACTGTTTTTAACCGTTTCTGGTTCTGACAGACGGCGGGATTTTCAAACCTGCTGCGTTTTGGAGGATTAAAAAATGCAAAACGAATCAAATAAAACCATCTTTCTGTCTTTGCTTCAGGCTGGAGAGGAGGTGGCTGCTCTGGCACGACTTCATGAAGGAGCTCGGCCACCTGGAAGCTTGGCTGCTATTGGCCGAGCGGGCCATCACCTCCCCAAACTCCGCCCACTTTACCTACTCCGCCGCCAAGGAGCAGCTGAGGAAGTTTGAGGTGAGAAATCAAACAGGAAGCCAAACTTTACTGGTTCCAAAGAGAAACTAAAAGTCTCTTACTGCTGCCAGACTGATGGCAGCGAGTCTGAGGCGCTGACGGACAGTAAAACCCGGTTCAGAGCGAAGTCGGGCTGAAGTTCGGCTGCCGCCTGAAGATAAACGCCAGCAGAGCGTAAACATCTCCAGCAGTAAAGCTGCAGCGCTAAATCACAAAGTGCTGAGAAGCTCTGAAGCCGTAGATCCTCCTCGTCTGATTCACAGCGAAGCTCGAAACTAAAGCTGCTGCTGCTGCACGTTTAAACCACGACCATGATAATATTTATCTAAAGAGTATTATTGTGATAAAACTCATGATTTCTGCAGATTTACGGGACAGGAAGTGTCTCAGCTGATTGGTTTAATGGTGGAATTATCGTATTTTGGTGGTTTTCAGGCCTAAAAACAACATTTATCACTCAGGAAGTTGTTCTGTCAAATTAAAATGCTCAAATATTAAAAAAATAATAATAACAAATCAGATTTTACAGCTCCAGGATCAGCTGTAACAACGCTCTGCAGCAAACGGAGCCGTTAAATACGACAAAGTAAAAGCCTGCACAAACCAAAGATTACAAAATAAAATATTTAAGACGCTAAATCCTGCAAAATAAAACAACAATAAGACAAAATAAAGACCACAAATTAAAATGCTGGAGATGTTAAAGGCGACAAAATAAAAATGCATTTTATTTTGTCGTCTTTAACGTCCATGTCTGACAAATAGAATAGTGCAGGTGGTAGAAACTACAAAATAAAATACTATAAATGTTAAACACCACTACAAAAAAGACTGCAGATTCCACTTACTACAAAATAAAATGCTGCAGATTTTAATGCTACAAGATAAAATAGTATAAATGTTAAATACTACAAAATAAAATGTTTCAGATGTTCAATACTACAAAATAAAATACTATACAAGTTAAATACTACAAAATAAAAGCCTGTATCCTGAGTTCCACTAACGTCTGGTCTCGTTCGTCCAGCGGCTGCGGCGTGAGTCCGGGTCTCGACTCGTCCAGTTGGACAGTTTGACCCGACGGAACCGAACGCTGACCCGGATGTTCCACGGAGCCATGAAGACCCGACTGCTGGCCGCAGCCGGAGAGTGTGGACGGCGGTGGGACGACGTGAACCAGGAGCTGGAGGCCGTCAGCGGCCGGCTGCAGGTCCTCACCGCTACGCTCTTATTTTGTTAACCTCATGTTTGACTTCCTTCTCTTATTGTGAAGGTGGATTTACTGCTCTGAATGAATTTACAAAACACCACCAGGGACCTAATAAACCAAACATAGAGCGGCATCAGCTCACGAATTCACGTAACTTTTGTTTGAAAATCACGTCTCTTTTTGGTTCATTTGAACCGTTTTGTGGTGATTTTCTGACTTTTTGTTCTGTGATTTTGCACATTTATTTTGACTTCCTGTCTCAGGAGTTTGTGTCAGAGTGGGAGGAGTTTGAGGCCCAGGGGGCGGAGCTTGCTCTCTGGTTGGCCGACATGGACGTTCGTCTGACGGAGGTCGATCACCTGACAGGAAGCACCTGTGACAAGCTGCGACGGCTGCAGGTGAGTGTTTAACGTGGACTCACACACTCTGTCGTCCTTGTTTCAGTGTGTTAACGTTGTTGTTGTGTTTTTGTGCGTTCAGTCCTTCCAGCAGAACGTCTGCGTGAACTCGGGTCGCTTCAACGCTCTGCTGCAGCGCGGCGAGGCGCTGATCCAACACAGCGACGGCGCCGACGCGCAGCACGTGGAGCGCCGCCTGCTGGAGCTGCTGCGGCGCTGCAGCCACGTCTACAACAACATCGCACGGACACACACACGGCTGCTCAGCATGAGACTGGTACACACACACACACACACACACACACACACATGACTGGTGGGGGAGGAAGTACTACAAAATAAAATGCTTTAGATGTTAAATACTACAAAATAAAATGCTGTTGCTGGCTAAACTCCCACAATGCTCTCTGCTTGCTGCTTCTACGTTTCCTTAAACACCTAAAACCTTCCTCCGTCACTAAGCGTCCTCTTGCTGCTGCTGTTTTTCATTCACTATCTTTCCAGGTGTTTGAGGACGACTGGATTCTGTCTCAGGCCACAGACTCTGGTTGTCCTTCAGAAACTCTACAAGAAGACGAGGAGGTGATGGACAAACCCAACCTGGACCTCCACGCTGCTCCAAGCTGCCCGAAAGGTAACGGATCAGAACTCCCAGAGGTTCTGAACAAGTTTCTGACTCTGATAAATGCTGTCGTCTTGGTGATTCATCTTATGAATCCTCCTCCTCAGCGCCTCCCTGGGCTCCTCCCCACCCGTCCTCCCCGACCCATGAGCACCTGGGGCTGGAGTGGGACCCCTCGGTGGACATCGGACGCTCGGTCTCCCGTGACGACGCCGACTCGTCGTACTTCAGCGCCTGCACAGGTACGAGGTAGCTTCTGAGTAGCCGCTAAGCTAAGCTAAGGTAAGCTAAGCTAAACAGCGGTGGAGGGTTTAACGTGTTTTCTTTCTGTCCTCTGGAGGTTTGTGTCACAGAGACGGCCTGAAGAGGCGGAGCTACCTCAGCTCCTCCGACTCCCGCTCTGACATCAGCAACGACATCATCAACCAGGAAGCAGAGCTGGTGAGTCACAGTGAAGTAGAAAACATGTTTACTAGAAAGAATTTAGATTTATATGTACGAAAGGCAAAAACAGGTGCAGTTTGGGAAGTTTAACACCAAAAAAGACGACTAATAATTACAGAGACGACTAACGGCCAATCAGAGACGACTAATAATTACAGAGACGACTAACGGCCAATCAGGGACGACTAACGGCCAATCAGAGACGACTAACGGCCAATCAGAGACGACTAACGGCCAATCAGAGACGACTAACGGCCAATCAGGGACGACTAACAGCCAATCAGAGTCGGGTTTTAGTCTGTCGCTGCTCAGACTTTAAAATGTCGAGTTTACAGGTTGAACTGCAGGAAGTGTCTCCGGAGCCTTTTGTCATTTCACACCTTCTTGTGGTGATTTAAAATCTCTGTGGCTTTTATTTAACGTTATTTGTGTCGATTCCACATTTTATAGTGATTTTGTGTCTTTTTTAAAAATTATTTTACATCTTTTTGTGTTGATTTAATATGTGATTGTCAGGATTTCACACTTTCTAGTAATTATTTACCTTTTTGGGGGCATTTGGGTTTTTTTGTGTTGATTTCTGGGCATTTCCTGTTTATGTGGTGTTTTTATGTCTTTTTATGTTGGTTTTACGTTTTTACTTTCATTTCACACCTTTTCTGTGCCGATTTTACGTCTTTCTGAGTCTTTTGTCTTGATTTTGCATCTTGTCATGGCAGCTTTGTGGCGTTTTTGTGTTAATTTAGTCGTTTTGTGGCGACACTGCTGCGGGTTCGGAGGGCTACGGTGCCAACGCGATGCGACGGATCCGTACGAGGCCTTCCAGCGGCTCCAAAGCTGCACCGCCGGGCCTCGGTCTGAACAAATCCGCGCGGCGCTTTCCTCCTGATTTCCTTGTTTACTCGGCTTTGTGCTCTGACCCAGATGCTACTCGGCCCAGAGGCTCCGTCTGTCATTCTGTCTGCAGCGAAACAAACACGACGGCACGTTGATGTCTGGATGCAGCAGCGATCTCGTTGTGCGGGTGTCGGCTGCGTGAGGCGCTCACAACCTCCTCCTCGTCTTCTGCTGATTTATTGATGATGCCTGCAGAACCTCCACAACAGCCCTCTTTCTCTTTTTGTTTGTTCAGACGCAGCAGAGGAGTATTTCGGGTTCCTCCTCCGTCACCTCGCCGTCTGCTGCACTGTCGCTGAACCCGAAACCCGACAGGACGAACACGAGCACAATGAAACCGAATTAGCCTCCGATGGCGGCGACAGAGGCATCAAAGTTTGCTCGCGTCGTCTCGCTGCGCTCCTTTTCCTGATTTATTTATCGGCGTGGCGGAGGCGCGATGTCGGCACTTCCTCCCCGCGGGCTCGACTCGCCGCTGTTGCACTTCATTAAGCTGCGACCGCGTGACCTCGTCTCCGGCTGCTCCAACGCCGCATGAATCCTCAACGCCGCTCACAAGCCTGCAGAGGTTCTTTTTCTGTTTTTCTTTTTTCTTTTTCGTGCCTCATCGCTGCTGCTCTCGCCGGGAAAAGAGCAAATGTGATCAGTTTTCAGCTCCGTCGGGTTCATTCAGCTCGGCGGACTGCAGCCCTTCAACCCATCAGCTGCTAATCATGTGCACAATATGCATCAGCTTCAGCACAATTTCCCAAATTCATCAGTTTCTAGTCACACGTTTTAGCCGATTTCTATAAAAATCAAACCAGAGAGAGCTGAGAAACTGCTGGTTTCGCTTCAGTTGATGCTTTTGTTAATTCTCTGAAACCCAGAACCTGTCGTTGGGTCTAACAGACGTCTTTTCTTTGCAAAAAAATTGGCAAAATTACCCAATTTACGAACCGAAAACTGTAAATCAGAGAGAATGATTTGAGTTCTGTTGAAAAAATGAACCAAATCTGAGCTTTAAATGGTGATTTTTCATCTAAACCACTTTGTCTTGTTTAAGAATTTACAAAAAACAAGAAATTCTGAGTTCCAACATCTGATCCTGTAGAACCAGAACCTTCCTCCTCCTGGTTCTGATCCTGTAAAATCAGAACCTTCCTCCTCCTGGTTCTGATCCTGTAGAACCAGAACCTTCCTCCTCCTGGTTCTGATCCTCCACCACTGACCCAGCTCTGACCAACAGGAAACATTCAGAGAGTTTCAGGTTGAGCTGCAGAGAGACTGAAGGAGAATCCATCCTACTGGATCAATGAATAGATGCAGCACGGATCAGAACCAGAGACCAGAGGAGCCAGTTGGTGGAGATACATTCATCTGATGGAGGAACATCTTTCTACTGATGGTGGAACATCTCAAAACTGGATCAAAAATGGTCCATAATGACTCAAAAATGTCATTTTAAACACATTTTCAGTCGTTAATATTAATTTTATTTAGTTTTTAAGGTATTTTGGGAAATTCTGGAAGACGTTTAGACAAATTTTGTTTTGATTTTTGCATTTTTATGTGACTTTAGACACGTTTTAAATCATTTTTGGACAATTTTGGAGTCATCTTGAAAAAATTAGTGGGTTCGAGTAAAATAAGAAAAAATGCGAGTTAGAAAGCGGTGATGAAAAGGAGATTTATGTGAATAAAAAATATATTAAATTGATTATTTGATCTTTTGGTTCTTGTTTTTTTTTTTTAAATTAAAAACTTTCCTACTTGAAGAAAATGTCAAAATATCGATTTTTGTTTTTTGCATAAACAAGAACACAATCAAAAGTGAACTTTAAGAAGAAACAAACACCTGAGATGTTCCTGTTTCATGTGTCCGTTGTCTTGCAGGCTGGAGCTGCTTCATCGTGGACGTAAACGATGATTTATTTCTGAACTCAACTCTTTTTCTCTGCAGGGTTTGGAGTACTGGCTCGACCAATCCCGCTCCTTCTCGCCTGCCGCCAACGGGAAGGACCAATGGGCGACCTCGACTCCTGACGCACAGAGCGGCGAGCCAATCGGCTTCGACGGAGGGCGCGTGAAGGCGTGGCTCAGAGTCCAGAGCTCCGCCCCTCCGGAGGCGAGGCCGTCCTGCTCTAAAGCTGTGCAGACTGACGAGGCGAAAGTAAGAAGTTCTCATCGTCTGCAGCAGCAGTGAATCTGTTCAGGAATTAGATCTGATCTGGTTTAAATTATCACCTAATGCCTAAATTTCCTGTTTCCTTTGACACTAACAGACATTTTTAGTCTAAACCGGTGCAGAAACGGAACAAACTGGTAAAAACTCACCAGAACCGAAGCGTTTGAGGACCGAACTTCAAACTTTGATCAGAACATTTTAAGTTAAATAAAAACCTAGACGAGCTTCCTGCGCGCTGCGTCTCATCCTCGTCTATATTTAGCCATTTTTCCTGCAGCTGCGTTCTCAGTTTGCAGGTTTGATTGAACGTGTGATTGTGAATAATTTCCATTAACGAGGTGAGCGCCGAGCTCCTCGTTCTCAACACGTTTCTCCGTGACTCAGACCGGATCGCTGCAGAACCAGAATCTTAACCTGTCATCAGATCAACGTCCGGCTCGTTTTCTCTCTCTGAAAACATCAAATGCTGAAAGAAGACCTCCTCTTATTAAACACGACTTCAGGAGGAGGTTCGGCTCCTGCAGCTCCGACTTTATCTGGATGCTAATGAATGCAGCAGCATTGGGTCACGTTAACGTTAAATATTCATCACTTCCTGATCTTTGCTTCACCGTCAATGACAGTTATGAGCTTAAAGCAGTGATTCCCAACCAGAGACACCAAACTTTCTCCATGCATGAGCCAGGAAACGCTGCAGAAACTCATTACAGAACTTCAGTGGAAAGCAGCAGCAGTAGATCAACAGCAGCCCGATTGTGTTCCTCGTTTCTTGCTGATGCTGGTTTTTTTCAGCCTTAACATCGAGCACGTGGCGTCACATGAACATCATCTGTGTAAAAACCTCCTGACCTGAATCTCCAGGAATTCACTCCGTCACGCTCACAAACTCAGAGCGAACCGCCGACCTCGAGGGCGACGACTTCAGCGTGGAAATACACGAACGACAGGATGGGAATGAGCGGATATCTAGATTTACCGGCTGTTTCTAGGTTTTAAATACTTGGAATCGGAAATCGTTTGGATATGAACGTGTGAGGCCGACTTTAGAGTTTCTGACCTTAAAAACAGAGCTTCAGTCTTGACTCTTAATAAAGCAAACTGGTGTTTATTACTGCTGTTGCAAACATTTGCGTATTTAGCAGCTAACTGCTTTAGCACAGTGCTAATCAATTCTGGTATTAAAACAACAGAAAAATGAGACAATAACAAGAAATGCTATCCTAATTTAACTAACGAGCGCTGGTCGGCGGTCGTTAAGCATCACAGAAGACTTTGAGTCATGGTGTCTCTTTACTAGCTAAACTCGCTAACAGGAAACTGCTCGCCTCCTCTGGGTGATACAGAATTAAACTGCAAAAGGCTTTTTAATAACAGCATCTAGTGTTTATTGCTGCTATTGCAATTATAAACACTGTTGCAAACACTGGCGTATTCAGCAGCGTTCACAAACGCTAACTGTTTTGCAACAGCATCAATAAATTGTGATGCTAAAACATTCAACCAACAAATGAGACAAACAACAACTTCATCCACTTTTTTCCCCCCAATGCTACTGAGATACAGAAACGCCATCCTAACGGATCCAGACTTGCTTTAATTCACGAGTGTTGGTCATTAAACGTCACAGAAGACTTTGTCATGGTGTCCGTTTACTCGCTAAACCCCCACAATGTTTGCTAACAGTTTGACACCTGTTCACCATATTAAACATTAGGAGGCTCCACCTGGTGGTGCATCCAGGTACTACACAGGGTCCTCGCCAGGATTTTTTAGACGGCATACTGGGGGGAAGGGTTGTCGAGCGAATGCTGCTAGCGGCGAATACGCTAGCGAATAGCAGCGTTAGCAGCAAAGACGACAGTAACGAATCTCAATCGGCGCTTCTTGTTAAACTTTTTCTCGTTATGTAAACATTGTAACGGCCCAATTTGCAGCGTAGTTTTTTCAGACAGCAGCGTAACGGGCCGTTACTCTGCTATGATGCTGGAGAGAACCCTGCTATGGCTAACGTGCTATACATGAATACAAATATTAAAGCACTGATTGGTTCCTGCTTTTCAAAATGGTTTGGCCGATACTAAATATTAAACATTCCAGAGACAATCCTCATTCAATCCCCAAAAGTACACAGATTTGCATAGTGCCACTTCTTCAGTCGTTGATTTACTCCCACTGGTGTCCACGAGGTCGGTGATACAGTAAACTGACGTTCCTGCAGAGTCTGTTGTTGTGAAGTTAAGTCTGAGCGATGTCCTCGCTCCCCATCAGCATTCATAATCATCAGCCGTTACTTTCTCTGCTCTGAATTCACACAATCATCCACCTTTTTGCAGAGATGGATTCCCGGATAACCGTCCTCTAAGCCTCCCGCTCGGCTTCACGCTTCCCTCTCCATTAGGCTTCGCCGGCCTCAGCCTTCATTTCCTCTGCCGCCGCCTCATTACTGGGGGGGAAGCGTCTATTTATCCTCCTCTTCCTCCGTCCCGTCCGACGCTCTCCGGGCCGCCGAATGAATCCATAAAGTCTTGATTTATGCCTGGAGTCTGGCCGCGCTTTAACTGTCGCCATAAAATCGGGAGAGAAACAATCCCTCTTCCCTTCCTTCCTCTTTACTTCCTCCTTCCCTCATCTGTGTTTTGACTTCAGATAACCGTGTACAGGAAATAGGAGCCATAAAGACGAGGGATTGCCGGAGACAAAGAAGAAAAGTTTGTAAATGAGTTTTTCAGGGTCAAATCTGATGACAAAGTGTGCGTGTAATTGTAATCTCAGCGATTTTTTTTTCGTTCGTGTTCTCGCATTTGCAATATACGAGTTTGATTGAAAGTGTGTTTGTGCGTAATAGCGTCGGCGCTCTTTAATGGAAGTTCATTACCGATAAAACTATCGAGCGAGCAGCAAAACAAATGCGGCAGAAATTAACCTGGGAGTCCAGATTTGAGAGCAGCCAAGGGGAGAATCGGGAGTTTAATCAATGCTCCGGAGCAGCTCGTCTACAAACTCTGTGTTGAATCTGAATTTCAAGCATCGCTCTGAGAGTCGAGTCTGGAACGTTTCTGCTGACGTTAGTCCAACGCTGTGGGTCACGTCCCGAACAGCAGATGGGACTTGCCAACTCCGGTACGACTGCAGAACAGTGTTTAAATTTAAAGGCTGGCCAGTGTAATAAAAGTCAAAACAGTTTTTATTTTGCAATGTGTAAAAATTCTATTAAAATGCAGTAAAACCAGAGATCTTCATCTTCGGTTTAATTGCCACAGAAAACAGAAAAACTGCTCCGACCACATGAGGCCACAATGAGGGAACAGAGATCTGCTGCAGGAACCCAACTTGACTGTAGACTGCATATGACCTTAAGCCTTTATACAACTAAAAATGGTTCAAGACCATTTCACAACACGTGTTCTCTCAAGACATAGTAAGGTTAGGACCTTACAAAACCGAGAAACCCAACAAAATCTAAGTTTCCTTTAAATTCCCAGCGCTTAACGACAGTGGGGAGGGAAAAAACCCAAAACCTCAAGCAGAACCAGGTTTAGGACAGAAGGCCATCTGCCTCGACTGGTTGGGTCGATATATATTCACCGCCCACACAGTTGTCGTGAATGTGGAAACTAGCTATTAGAGGCCAAAACATACCAGCTCACCACCAGGGGTCAGAAGGTCTTGGTGTCCAGCTTCTGGTGCACCCAAACCCAATGCCTGTTCCTGCAGGTGGTGGTGGTCCCATGTAGCCTCTTCAGGTTGTACCTGTCCAAGCCCCATGGGCCAAGGCTTGGCCACCAAATGCTACCCTGTGAGCTCCCCTACCAGGTCCAGCTCCAGAAGGGTCTTTTTGTTTCCCTATCTTATGTTTCCTTGATTCTTGATTAATTGAGGTCTTTGGAACACTCACAGTCCAGCCCGTCCCCCTA